CCCCAAAGCCGGTGTCAGGTGGCTTCAGTGGCCACAGCTCAGAGGCTGGTCCGCACCTGCTCCCCGCGGCTCCTGCCAGCTTAGTCCCGCAGCTCACACCGCGCTTTACAGAGCAGCAAACTGAGACTCAGGGCGGCTGCAGGGCTTGTCCAGCCATGGTTGTAAAGTGTTCTAACTTGGAAAAGGTCAGATATGAACAAAAAGTAAATGACGAATCCCCACGTACCTACAGCCCACCTTCACAAACTGTCAACTTGGAGCCTATCCGGACTCACGGTCCATCCTGTCCAGTGGCCTACCACACACCACCACCACCCCCGACTTCAAAGCCATTTCCAGACTTCCTGTCTGTAGGTATTGCAGGAAGTTCCCTTAAAGGACACGGCCACCGCTTCCCTTTCAACATGGCTGCAGAGGCCAGCATCACACACAAAACACCAACAGTATTTACTCAATGCCCTCGAGTGGCCAGTCGCGTCCTCTTCCCCACGTGACCTCAGGCTAGTTTCCCGCTGCTGCTTATTCTCTGTGCTGTGGAGGTAGAAGCCTGACGGGGTCTCGGGGCTGAGATCAGGGGGAGAGCAGGCTGGTTTCTTCTGGAGCCTCCAGGGGAGAATCCATCCTCCTTTCTCCAGCTTCTGTGGACACTGTGTTCCTTGATCAGATTGTTTTCAGTTTTGTTGTTGGTTCGGTTTGGTCCGGAATAGTTACTTCAGAGGTGGTGTCCGATGTGTTCTCCACTCAGGAGGGATGTCAGTCCAGCTCTCTCTCTTTTGTGGTGAAAGCAGCCTTGACAGTCTGGCCCAGATCCATGATTTCATGAGGGTATGGGATGTTCTAACCCATCACTGCCTCCCTGTTCTGACGCCTCCTCTCTCTGCTCGTTGCTGGCCCAGTGGTACCGATCATAGAGGAAAGGCAGGACCGAGGCTTGATTCCTCCTTTGAACATAATTATTTATTTATTTATGGCTGCGTTGGGGTCTGTTGCTGCTGTGCGCGGGCTTTCTCTAGTTGCGGCGGGTGGGGGGCTACTCTTCGTTGCGGTGAGCGGGCTTCTCATTGCGGTGGCTTCTCTTGTTGTGGAGCACGGGCTCTAGGTGCGCGGGCTTCAGTAGTTGTGGCACATGGGCTTAGTTGCTCCGCGGCATGTGGGATCTTCCCGGACCGGGGGTTGAACCGGTGTCCCCTGCGTTGGCAGGTGAATTCTTAACCACTGCACCACCGGGGAAGTCCTAAACATAATTTTTTTTTAATATGTTTTCTCCTAATTTTTTTGGCTGCATCGGGTCTTCGTTGTGGCACATGGGCGGGCTTCTCTCTAGTTGTGGCGTGTGGGTTTTCTCTTCTCTACTTGTGGCACTCGGGTTCCAGAGCGCATGGGCTCTGGAGTTGTGGCACGTGGGCTTAGATGTCCTGCTGCATGTGGGATCCTAGTTGCCTGACCAGGGATCAAACTTGCGTCCCCTGCATTGGAAGGCAGATTCTTTACCACTGGACCACCAGGGAAGTCCCTTGATTCCTTCTTTAAGTACCACTTTTCAAAATAAGCAGTTGGACCCCTGGTATCTGCCAAGGGTAGTCAGTGAGGTTGGGATGCTTTTAATACCATTGTAAATTCACGTTTTGGCCATATTTGATGGGTTTCAATCCCTTTCAGTCCTTGTCTCATGGGATGTGCAGAGGTTCCCCTCTCCGGCTGATTGCTCTTGAGTCCTGTGACGTGTCCGAAATCTATGGTGCTTCCTAGCTTTCTAAGGGGCTGTCCTACTCCAGACCTAAAGCCAGCCATTCCTCGGGCCCTCAGCCCTCCCTCGGGGGTAGTGTTCAGAAACCATGACCTGCACATCAGACCCGTCATAGCGCCAGGGGTGGTCATGGTTCCCAGGACTTTCAGTGGACAGAATCAGGAAATACGTGTTTTAAATAAAACATACCAGGAGTTCAAACTGATACTTGTAATTCGGAATCAGGATTATAGAGTTTCCTTAACCTCTTTGGCCTCTATCTCTCTCTCCTCATTCCCCTACTGAAAATCTGGGTTTTCAGTGGTGTCAACATAATCACTCACTTGCTTTTTCTCGAGATTCACTCAGTAGCTCAACTGAGCAGCACGACACTACCATTCACAGTGACTGAGAGTCATTTACTGTTTGTTTATTCGGTCCTTTGTCCACAGCCCCTCAGACGCCCCTTGGACACTCGGTTACGTGTGGCTAGGGTGGTGTCGCCCGCTGGACGCCCAGCTTCACTTGTCCCCCTTCAGTGTTTGGGGGTTGCTTATTTATTTTATAATTACATAAAATATCTACACAGTTTCAAAATCCAATCTACAAAGTACATTCAACTAAATCTTGTTTATACCCGTCCCTCCACCAAAAGTTAACAATTTAAAATGTGTATTTTTCTTTTTAAAACATAAGCACCTGGGTTCGTAGATTCCTGTCCCTCTTTATTGAATTCCGTGGTTTTTGTCGACCTTGCCTTTGTCCCGCTCCACGTGCCCAGCCTCACTCTGTGGGTCCGCAAGTACCAGTGACACCGGTTCCCTGTCGCAGGAGGCGCCACGTTCACTCCCCGTGTGGGCACCGGGCTCCTGCGTGGTTGGGGGCCGGTCTCCCTGAGTCCGACCCGGTTTGGGCTGGTCTGGGGAGGCTGCTCCAGCCCAGTCCACTGTGGCCCCCGCCCTTGGAGGAGCCTGGGCAGTGCTGGCTGAGACCAGGAGTGGGAAGGGATCAGGTCCAGATGCTGTCTGTTGCAGGACTCCTACCCGAGGTTCCTGAAGTCGGATTTGTACAAAGACCTGCTGGCGGAGGCCGTGGTGCCCCCGGAGACCAAGCGACGGTCAGCCAGGTGGTGCCCAGGGAGGCGGGTAGGATGCCGGGGGTGGCGCCCTGTGCTCAGGCCCCTTCTTGTCCACAGGGTGTTCCCGTTCATGCGGAAGCCGCGCCATTCCAGCCCCAGCCCTGCTCTCCTTCCTGCCTCTGCCTCCAGGGAGCCCTCGGGTGGTGACGGGGAGGCCTAGGTGGGCCTGGGCAGGGGCAGAATGGGGCCATCTTGCCCTCATCAACTCCTCTTGCCCAGGGTCCTTGCAGCCACTGAGACTCCCTGGCACGGGAGTCCCCTCGGACCCCGAGCGCCTGGCCTTACGGGGGCACCGAACTCTCTGGCTTCCACCTTTTCCCTTGTCACACCCTCCCCCAGAAGGGGCCGTTCGGGTGCTGATTCCCAGGGCAGGGGTGCCCTGGACTGGGACAAGATGGCAGCACATCTGGCATTCCACGCCGGTTCCCACCCCGCTGGTGACTCCCAGGGCAAGAGTCATAGTCAGGTGGCCGCCAGCAGGGGGCGTGGGCGTGGGCATGCAGGGGGAGGTGCTGCTCCCACTGGGCTGTGGCCTCTCTGCCTCCGTGGCCACCTGAGGCCCATGGCTTCTCCCTGGTGTTGTACAGAGATGGCTCCAGCATCGTTGCTCCTCCAACAGCCAGCCCTGGTTCACAGGGCAGCAGAGCCTCTGGGGAAAGACACCAGGGAGTCCCCACTCCGAGAGCCCCCCGAGACTCAGCTGCTCCTTTGGGAGTACAGCCAGACTGGCTCAGCTTGGGCAGCGCCACCCCTCCCTCAGGGCTGCCCACACCCTCCCGCTCCCAGCGCAGAAATAAAAGACCTTTGGGTCCTCACTCTGAGCCTGTCCTGCTGTGGTCCAAATCGTGGTGGGTGCACACATGGTGGGTGTGCCTGTGGTGAGTGTGCATGCACGTGTGGCGTGTGGGTGAGGCATGCACTGGTGAGGGAGGTGGTGAAGGACAACGGGAAGTTCAGGTGTCTGTCAGAGGCAGTGGGTGGAGGATCCCTTGTGTGGGGTCTGTAGGCCTTGGGCTGGGCTCAGGCTGCAGACTTGGGGAGACAGTGGGGAGCTTGTGCTCTGGCGGCACACGGACGCCTGCGTCTTCCAGGGGAGAGTGAGCACAGAGTCCAAGGGGCTGTCTGGTGTTGAACCCAGCCTCTCCAGGGTCAGCTGTGCCCTAAGACATCACAGTGACAGGGAGCACAGTGCAGGCTTTATTTACAAGTCCAGGGTGCACCGGTGAGGTTGTCTCTGGGGCGGCCCAGACCCCAAACTCCTGCACATCGTCCTGGAACCTAAAGGCTGGTCCCTGCCCAGAGCCGGCTCCTCCATCCTCCGCTGTGGACCCAGACCTGGGCCCTTGGCCCGCGTGGCTTCTCACAGGGACAGGGAATCCAACCCCTCAACCTCAGCCTTGTTGTTGCCTCCCAGGCCTTCACAAGGAGAAAGAGACCTGGTTCTGGAAGCAGGCTTGTCACACGTAAGCGCCTTCAGGAAATTCCTGCAGGATTCTCCACAACAGCCCCCATCACTTTGGTAACCCAAACCTTTGTCTCACTGAAGCCCCCTGCCTGGGCTTCTGCTGCCTGGGCGGCTACCAGAGCTTAGCCTGGAGGACACAGGTGCTGGGGGACCCCCTGCCTGTCCCGGGTGGGAGAGTGCCCACAGGCTGGGTTCCTAGCCTGCTGTGGGTGAGCAGGGCGGGAGCCACAGACCTGAGATGCACTTGGAGGCTGTGCTGGACGCTCCCAGTCTCTGATTGGGTGGTGTGGGTGCTGGCCTCACCTCCCCAGCAGCCTTTCCCACTGATCCAGCAGACAAACACAGGCACACATGGGGCTTTCCAGACAGTGCAAAACCAGTGTTTATTCTGATTTCTTCCCGAGGTACCCGGGGTCATCAGGCTGCTTGCTTTTGTCCGGGCACGGCTGAGTCCCACAGCACCAGGCGGGTCTGGGGTGACCAAGGCACAGAGGTGAGTCTTGCATCAGGTGACACCGACTGTGGGGGGGGGGGGTGT